CGCCACACTTCCGGAGGTTGTGCGCGGCTAGGAGAGAGAGAGAACGAGACAAGAGGTTTAGGGTTTTTAGGGTTTTACGTTTATTGATAATCTTCCAAGGAATGGATACATCTCTTTATATAGGGAAACCCTAATCCTATTTAACTATGTTTTCTATCCTGACGGTTCAAAAAAAGCGACGAGGTAAAGAACCGTAAAGAAACCCTCGAAGGAGCTTATAGTTCGCTCACCTAGGAAAATCTACGTACATGTAAATAAATAAATAATGAAGAAGATAATTTAAACGGAGCCCATGTCATACTCCCGGTGCCACCCCGGTGGACGTCGAACCCTGCTACTTCGACGAGTCCCCGAGTCTTGAACGTGTTGGTCCCCTGGTTCATCCGAATCCGTAACATCCCCCTCAGATATATCATCATGCATTATACACTAACAACATTATGCTACTGGATAATGTTGGCTAGGTTCTTCAGGACCTATATTAACTGATACTGCAGGATCAGTTATGCTGCCTCATTAAAAACCTTACTAAGAAAACCCAATGGGACAAAACTTAGTTAAGGGAAAAAGAGTACAGCGTGTATAATATCTTCCCTCAAAACAAAATTAAACTCCCCCTCAAACTAATTTATCTCTTTCAGCCTGCGAAGTCCAATCTTCTTTATGAGTAGCTCGAAACTGTGTCTAGGCAGAGATTTGGTGAATAAGTCTGCCAAATTTTCGCTTGATTTAACTTGAAGAACATTGATCTCCCCTTCTTTCTGCAGATCAGATGTTGAGAAAAACTTTGGTGAGATGTGCTTCGTTCTGTCTCCCTTGATATAGCCTTCCTTGATCTGAGCTATGCATGCTGCATTGTCTTCATATATAATTGTAGGATTCTTCTTGATTTCTTCCAAACCGCATGCTCTTTGTATATGATCAATCATCGATCTCAACCAAACGCACTCTCGACCAGCTTCATAAAGTGCTACCAATTCAGCTTGATTTGATGATGTTGCTGTTAGAGTTTGCTTTGTTGACTTCTAGGAAATTGCTGTACCACCGTATGTAAACACATAACCTGTTTGAGAACGTGCATTGTGTGGATCTGATAGATACCCAGCATCAGCATACCCTACAAGTTGGGACTTTTCATCTTTTTGGTAGAAGAGACCTAAGTCTCGTGTCCCACAAATATATCGAAATATTTGATTTATCCCATTCCAATGTCTACGTGTTGGGTTTGAACTGAATCTTGCTAATAGATGTACTGAGAATGCAATATCAGGCCTTGTATTATTCGCAAGATACATGAGTGCACCGATCGCGCTTAAATATGGTACTTCTGGACCAAGTACTTCTTCACCCTCTTCTTGGGGGCAATAAGGATCTTTATGTATATCTAAGGATCGGACAACCATGGGTATGCTCAACGGATGTGCCTTGTCCATATTAAAACGTACTAACATCTTCTGGATGTAGTTTGACTGATGGACGAATATGCCATTGTGCAAATGTTCGAATGGCAAACCAAGACATAATTTTGTTGTGCCAAGGTCTTTCATCTCAAATTCCCTCTTTAAAAGCTCAGCAGTTTTTTCTATCTCTTCAGGAGATCCAATGATGTTTATATCATCAACATAAACTGCTACAATAGTGAATTTAGAGAGTGATCTTTTTATGAAAACACATGGACTAATTACATCAGATTTAAAGCCATGCTTTTCAAGATATTCGCTAAGTCGATTGTACCACATACGACCAGATTGCTTGAGACCATATAAAGATCTTTTGAGTTGTATAGCACACATGTCTCGAGGTACTGATTTTAATGCTTCTGGCATTTTGAATCCTTTAGGGATTTTCATGTAGATGTTATTCTCAAGTGTCCCATATAAGTATGCGGTGACAACATCCATAAGTTTCATCTGAAGTCCTTCTGAGATTGTGAGGCCGATTAAGAATCTAAGGGTTATCGCATCCACTACAGGGGAGTACGTTTCCTCATAATCAACTCCTGGGATTTGGGAAAACCCTTGTGCTACAAGTCGTGCCTTATATCGCATAATCTCATTCTTTTCATTTCTTTTTATTGCAAACACCCATTTATAACCCACTGGTTTGACGTCTATGGGTGTTCGGACTACA